ATGCATTCCCCAGATGCTGAGACTAGCGGATATTTTGTAAGAAGTCACCTGTCTGGATTATAGCAGAGAACCAGGAGATTAAAACATCTCTGAAGGAAAGAGCCAGCTAACAGATTGTGCAGCGTCTTTGTGATTAAAAGTTCCTCTCCTTCCCTGTTAGGAGAGAACCACGTGTTCTCACTCACTGCCTGGTTTTCTTCATGCTTCCAGCCTCAGCAGTGGTCACAGGAGCCATCTGAAGAAATACACCCTACATGCACAATGACTCACACACTGCTCGACTGATTCACTACACCTCTCCTGGCCACGCCTCCCAGACCCGGAGCCTCCCCAAGGCCTATTAACTAATTCGTGAATGGCTCTTGAGTTTGTGTGCATCCCTCTATTCCCAGCACAGCCGTTATAGTCCAGACTACAAGGCTGTTTTGTCTGAGTCAGAATCCACTCCACAGCAGCTGGGTATTGTAATAACTTGCTAATAAGTCTGCCCACTTGAATGATGCCATTCTCCATGCAGTAGGCAGCGTGAGCTGCTCAAAAGGGAAATTTGAGAAATCACATACCCTCATCCCCAAACCCATCCCACCACCCACTCTAGACACCAGTGGCTCCCCGTTGCACTTGGTCAAAGATAATAATACTTCTTTTTTAAATTATCGTAAGTGTAAGAAAACATTTGCCATTTCAACATGTTTTGCACATACAATTCAGTATCATTAATTACATTCGTCATGTTATGCAGCCATTACCACTGTATCCAAAGTTTTCCTTCACCTTTAACAGAAACTCACTGTCCCCTAAGCAGTGACTCCCTCTTTCCCTGCCTCTCCCACCCCTGGAAGAATCAAAACTCTTAACATGTCACATTTCCCCTCTCCTCTCCAATCCAAGCACCTGGCTTCCTTTCATCTTCCTTCCTGCCACTGGGCCTTTGCACATACCTATCCCTATGATAAAAACACCTTTCCCTCCCTCCATGCTGCCTGCTCTTCCTTCAAACTTATAGGAAGGTCTTTGCTCACCACCCTGGCAGGGCATATCCTCTGTCATATGTTTTCCTTGCCTGGTGTATCATTCCCTTCTAGAACTTATCTCAGTTGTTAGTGTACATGTATTTGTGTGATAACTTGTTTCATGTCTGATTCTCCTGCTAGGCTGAACTTCTGAAGGGGTATAGACTGTGCTATTCACTTGACTCAATAAATTTTTATTAAGTTCTGTTCTGTGCAAGGTCCTCAAGTAGGTATCACAAGGGTGTTACAGAGGAGTAATACCATGGTAGCTTTGAAGGGATTGTGTTAGTTGTCTTGGGAAGAAAGGCCTGGCAATCTGCTTTTGGAAATCAGCCAGTGAAAACCCTGTGAGTCACAATAGTCCAGTCCACAGCCAGTCAGGGGGATGGTGTGGGACCGGGCAGCATTTCCTTCCATTGTGCATGGGGGCCCCAACAGCACCAGCATTATCTGCTGCTTTGTGAGAAACTAGAAGTGCTTATGACAGCACGGTTTCCATGGTTGGAAATCTGGCTTAGAAGGTGAGTGCTTCAGACTCAGGATCTCTGTCCCGGCTGCATTTGAGGTGTTGGCTGCAGCTGTGGTCTCATCTGAAGGCTCAGTTCAGAGAGGATCCATTGCCCAGCTCACTGAGGTGTGGTTGGAAGGCTTGGGTCCTCGCTGGTCACAGACATTGATTCCTTGCCATGAGAGCCTCTCCATGGGGCTACGCGCAGCATGGTGCCTTGCTTCTCTGAAAGTGAGGGCTCCAGGAAAGAGACAGCAAGAGACGACCTTCAAGACAGAAGCTACAATCTTATAAACCAGTCTGCCCTCAAACGTGGCACCCCATTCATTGCTGTATTCTATTCATTAGAAACAAGTCACACACTCAGTGGAAGGGGATTATAGAAGGTTCACATGGGGAGGGAGTAGGGATCTTTGGAGGCTTAGATCAAGTCGGGGAAGTTTAAGGTAAGCTGCACAAGTAACTGTTCTGCAGGGAGCATCTCAGTTCTGAAGCCTTTGAGGTGCTTGGGAAGGGAGAATGTTCCTGAAGGTCCTTGAGTTAGAGATGGGCCCTGGGTGACTGGACTTCAGCAGGGACAGGTGAAGTTGAGAGAAGCGCCTTGGTTACTCATCCATTACATCCTGTTGTAATGAACTTGGCCATGTGGTTTCAAACCTAAGCAGATCAGAAGCTGGATGTGGCAGGGGAGGGTTGGGTTGTTGCTAACAGACACTAAGCAGGAGCAGGTGGCAGCTAGAAAGTACATAACGAGGACACAAAACTTAAAGAACAGATTTCAGAATTCAAAGTGTGTGTCATTAGGGACCATTTATTAAAGAGGGTCATTGCAGTCTCTGAGGGGATCAATATGTTTATAGGCCTGCACCATTATCCATGTCTCAGCCACTGAGTGACCCTTACGAGGTCATTACACTATTTGCAATTGTTGTTGCTATGCCGCGGAGTCAGACCCGACTCATAGTGACCCTTCCTTGCATTTCTGAGGCAGTATCCCTATGGATATGTCCAGCCTTCCTTCCAAGGAGTGCCTGGTGGGTTTGAACCACCAGCCTCCTGGTTAGCAGTCAAGTGCCTTAGGCACTACACTGTTAGAGCTCCCACTAGGTGCAAAGGAGTGTGCAATCACTGTAGAGAGTTGTGCTTTAAAGTGGCCCTAGTGGTGCAGTGGTTAAAGTGCCCAGCTCTCACCTGATAGGTCAGCTGCTCTGTGGTAGATAGACCTGGTGATCTGCTTCCGTAAAGATCACAGGCTTGGAAACCTATGATGCCGTTCTGTCCTGTCCTGCAGGCTTAGTCTGTAGGGTCAGCATGAGTTAGAATCCACGGATGGCATGGAACGACCCTTAAACACACCAGTTGTTTTAAAGTTTGGGGAAGACGTGGAACCTCAGCCATCTGTCGAGATGTTATGATCAACGCAGGAAAGCCAAAAATGTACTAACTAGATTCAACTATTTTTAATTAAAATATTCATGCTTGTGTTGTGTCAAAACAAAACAAACGCACGTTTCCTTCTCACAGGAGGGGGGTGTTCGTTTTTTATGGCCTCAGGTGGAGAAGCCCCGTGTTCTTGTCTCTTGTCCAGACAGGAGAACTTCTGTCCACCTCTGAGAGTCATTCACATATAGGGAGAGTGTTCTACACACGCAGGGAGGGCGTGTCTACATGTGTAAGGAGAGCATATCTGTTTCTGGAGGCAGATGGATCAAAGGCCCAGAAGATAGAGGGCTGTTAGCATTTTTCATGTCTCAAATGAATGGCTGTGGCTTCTACCCTGTTAGCTGGAGTGCCTCCCCCATCCTTCTCCCAGAGCATGGCCTGCAGAGTCTTGCTTCGATTCATGGCTAGCCCTATTTCCCCCTATAATTCTTGATGTCATTTAAGTCATCCTGAGGCATGGAGGTGTGGAAGGAGCAGTGGTGGCTAGGATGTGAGGTTTGAAACATTGGTCCTTCTCTCACTGGTGCCATGGCCTTGGGCAGCTTCGGTGCACTTCACTTCTCTGAGTCTTCATTTCTTCACCTGAAAACTTGGAATAAAGGAGCCCTGGTGGCACGATGGCTGTTAACTGAAAGGTTGGTGGTTCGAGCCCACCCAGTAGCTCTGTGGAAGAAAGATCTGGTGATTGCTCCCGTAAAGATCACAGACTATGAGGTGGTTCTGGTCTGTCACATGGGGCCGTTGTGAGTTGAAATCAGTTTGATGGCACCCAACAGCAGAATGGGGATAACACTCCCTATTGCAGAATTTTCACTCGGAATAAAATGCAGTGTGGAAATTGTTGGCTGCCACTGAGTTGGCCCCGAGTCATGGTGACCTGATGCATAATGGAACAAAAGGCTGTCTCGTCCCTCCGTGATCGGTTGTGGATCAGACTCTTGTCATCCACAGGATTTTCGTTGGCTGCTTTTCAGAAGTAGATCACCAGCCCTTTCTGCCTAGTCTGTCTGACTCTGGAAGCTCACATTAAAAGAAGACCTACTGGGCGAAAGGTCGTAATTGATGGGCACTGGACTCTCCTAGCTGTCCCCTCCCTGTGTGTCTTTCTCTGGTTGGGGCACTTGTTCTTCTTGACACCAGGCCACACCGTGGGGATCTGTAGTGGCAAAGAGCATAGACTGGATATTGTCTCGGGTCAGACCTGGGTTCAGATTCTGCCTCCAACCCTTTCTAATTATGTGGCCTTGGACTTGTACCTTAACCTCTCTGGATTTCTGCCCCATCATCTGTGGGCAGGTAAAGAATGGTGCCCACCCTCAGTGTTGTTAGGGGGCTGTCACCATCTACCATGGTGCCTGGCACTCATTGTTCCCTAGTGAAGTAGCACTTTTTGGTCTCACCCCAGGTGCCTGTATCCATTTCCACAATTCTGTCCCGTACCCCATGACAAGGTCCCAGAGCCCTAAAAACGTACAGGGTGTACGTGCAGGAGATAAGCAGATCTTGCCCATGATGGCTGGCAAGGTAGCCAAGCATTTCCTTCATGTCATACTTCACCTTTAGTGGCGTGAAGAGGAGGAACAAAATGCTCCTTTTCCATGTTTCACTGCAGGTGGCCGTTGCATGTTCTTTCTTTTCACTTGACTCAGTGGCGCCTAACAACAGAGACAGCTTATGTAAATATCTCACACAGCTCTCTTTCCAACCTTGTAAAGGGCTGAGTGAGCAAGCACTGGGAGAAGAGTTCCTGAAATTAAGCAGGGGTTCAGCTGCTCCAAGCCAGACTTCGGGACCTACAGCAGTTGCCACACTATCCCTTGATTAGTGGTTGTAGCCTGCTTTGGGGATGGTGCAGGAAAGCTTTGCTCTCTGTAAATGATTCTCTCCTTGGGCGAGACGTGTGCTTATATTTGGTGGGGAGGCTCCTAGCAAAGTCCCTCTGAGGGGCAGGTACAGCTGCCTTGGGGTCTGAAAGCCCCCTGGCTTCCAAGCCAACCGCACCACCTAACACCATGCCAATGTGTCTCTGCCCCCAGATCATGAAGGAGGTCCGGCGAGCCCTGTGCAGCGCAGCTGTGGATGACAGCAAGCTGCTGCTGCTCAGCGCGGTGGGCAGTGTGTTCTGCAGTGGGCTGGACTATTCTTACCTGATCGGCAGGTTGTCCAGCGACCGGCGGAAGGAGAGCACACGGATCGCAGAAGCCATCAGGTGAGTTTGGCCCGTATTGGGACCCATTAGACCCCACCGGGGCTTGCCACATTTAGCAAACAGAAATACAGGACACTCGGTTGAATCTGGACATCAGATAAACAACAAATAATGTTTTAAGTGTAAGTGTATCCTTTGCAGTCTGCGGGATATGTTGGTGTTCGGTGTCATTGAGTCGGTTGTGACTCGTAGTGACCCTGTGTACGAGGCAAAACCAAACCACAGCACCCGGGCCCATGCCCTCCTCACAGTCGGTGCTGGGCTTGAGCCCGTCCAGCCGCTGTGTCCGTCGCCTCGTTGAGGCTCTTCCTCTCGTTTCGTTGACGCTCTGCATTACCAAGTGCTGTCCTTCTCCAGAGGCCGTGCCCTCCTGAGAGCGTGGCCAGAGGATGTGAGGCCGAGGCTTGCCGCCCTTGCTTCTTGGGAGCATACCAGCTCTGCTGCTTCCGAGAGAGCTTTGTTTGTTCTTCTGGCAGCCCGTGGTATATGCAGTGTTCTTCGCCAGCACCATGATTCAAGGGCATCAGTTCTTCTGCGGTTTTCCTTATTCACTGTCCAGCTCTCACATGCCTATGAGGCGGTTGAAAATACCATGGCTTGGGTCAGATGCACCTTAGTCCTCAAAGTGACATTGTTGGACTAACAATTCAAAGAGGTCTTTTGCAGCAGATTTGCCCCATGCAGTGCCTTGTTTGATCTCTTCAAGTCCTTCACACAGGGCCTGGGTCCCCTTCACGTTCAGATATATTTACACTTAAGAAATTATTTGCTGTTTATCTGAAATTTACATTTTAGTTGGGAACCCTGTATTTTATCTGCAGCTCTAGCCCTGCCAAAATTTGGGACACCTTTTCAGTCTGGAATCAGTCTTTGGATCCCAGTGAGATGGACTGTAATACATGTAGGACATGGTAATTCCCCGGTATCATCCACAGTCCTTCCACCTGCGGGAGTCTGTATTGGGATGTTTCTGTGCCCTGGAGCCCACATGGCTAAGCAGGGGGCTGGGAATGTTGGGGTTCCCTGGGTAGCTGTGCATTTGCAGATCCAAGGGGACAGGAAGTGTTCCCTTCACTGAGATCCTGGGGTGACATCCAGTCCCAGTAGTCATTTCCCCGTTCTTTATGTGAAAGCAAAGCCGATTGCGTCCAGTCGACTCTGACTCATGACAACCCCGTGTGTCAGAGTAGAGCTGTGCTCCACGTCGTGGTTGGTGTTGCCGTCCACTCGATTCTGACTCATGGTGAGCACAGCCTATGCATGACTGCTAACCTCACCCTTGGTGGATCAGACCCATCCAGCCGTACCACAGAGGTAAGGCCTGGTGATCTCCTATTAAGATGAAAGCCTTTGGGAGCAGTTCTGCTCTGTAACACCTGGGGTCTCCAGGACCCTGCTCCAGAGGGCTCAGAGAAGCACTGCCATGTGCCCCTCACTCCCACTTTTGAAGAGAAGAGCGATGTCTCCCAGAAAACGTTCTGTGCATCCCCAGCACCATGGCTGAGTGACAGACACTGTCGTGAAGAGAGTTTAGGCTGCACTGCAAGCTCTCTTCCTCCTTGTGAAGATTTCCAGGTGTATTAACATGTGAAGGCCTCTGATATAACTGGGTTCAGAATCTAGCAGGGCTCATAGATAATTTGGCCTTAGAGCCTCTTCCCCTCAACCCCTGTAGTCTCCTGTGGTGCAGAGAATGACTTGATATGGCTTTTCTAGCTGTGGTCTTTGTGACTCCTGCCAGATTACTGGGTGGGGCTGTGCTAGTAAGGTATATGGAACTCTAAAGTAGGGACTGCCTAGTTTTGCTTTGCATTTTAAAATGAGCCCTCCTAGAAGCAGAGGAGAGGATCTCACTGCCATCAAGAGAGCATGTCCTTAGACCTGAGATCCCTGAACTGGACCTCCTTGGCAGAAACTCTCTGGCAGAGAGACACCGGGCAGAGAAACGGTGGCAGTAGATCCAAGAGGCATGAGACAAGACACGGTCAGCTTACCTGGCCCATAGAGTGAGGAAACTGAGTGCCTTTGGGCAGGAGACTTGCTGGCCAAGTAGGGTGCACATAGTTGTACCTATCAGCAGAGCTAAAAGAGCTTTGTATCACACTTGCCCAAGGAGGGCAGAGGCCAGACTGAGAGGCCGAAGGCCAGGGAGGCGTGCCTGAGAGCATAGCAGAAGGGGGACTGTTGTGCTTGAAGAGTTGTATGCTGAGTGCATTCCTGAATTGGAGTTTTAGCCTGTTCCTTTCCTAATAAATCCCATAATCATAAGTATTGTTTGTGAGTTCTGTGTGGCCACTGCAATGAGTTAATCAAACCCAGCAGAGAGGTAGTGAGTACCATGGGAGGGACGGTTGTTGTCAGAACTGATAAAAGGCTGGAGGGTGGTGGCATGTTTGGCCTCAAAGGAGTATGCCTTGGACTACTGTTGGTGACCCTGTTTCCTCTTCGTGAGATTGGAGGAGGTCAGAAAATGCTGCCTCTTTTCCCTTTTCGTACCTCTGGACATCCATTAAGGAGCTCTGGTGGCACAGTGCCTAAGGCATATGACTGCTAATCAGAAGGTTGGCAGTTCAAACCTCTCGCTGCTCCGCAGAAGGAAAATGGGGCAATCTACTTCTGTAAAGATTTACCACCTTGCAAACCCAATGAGGGTTGCTATGAGTTGGAGTTGACAGTGAGTTTGTTGTTTTTTGGTTTGGACATCCAGTGCTGTTGTCTTGGTAAGACTGACCTCCAGGATCCAGGCATGCCCACGTGGCCACAACATTCCCAAGACAGTTCCCCCTGCCTTTTATCATCCCTGCCTCAAGGAAAACACGCATACACGTGGCCTGGTGCATTGTGTACATGCTGGAAATGGTGACGGACAATCATATATGGAAAGAGCCTGGTGATTCATTTGACAGGAACCTCTATCCAGCCCACACACAGAGCTGTCTGCCCCTTCCTAATAGAGAGGCATAGGTGAGCTGCTGGCCTGTACAAGCGTGGGTTCACAGAAAGGCCCTGTGGTCTAGCAGTTAACCAGCATGGTGTCTGGGAGCAGGCTGGCTGAGTTCGGGTCCCACCTCCGTTGCTTATGAGTGGTGCAGGCTTCTGCCCATCACCGGTCTCACTAAGCCATCAGGTCATCTGGAAAATGGGTAGTGGAAATGGTGGTGCTGGCCTTATTGCTGAACTGCTAGGACAAAGAGTAAGCAGATGAGCCACCTGAAGTGAGTGGACTGTTCCTGGACCAGAATTAGCTCCTAGAATAACCACAACAGTTGCCATTGAGTCAACTCCAACTTAAAGCCGCCCCACGACCCCATGTGCATCATAGAACTGTGCTCCATGGGGTTCTCGGGGGCTGATTTGTCAGAAGTAGATCACCAGGCCTTTGTCCTGAGGTGCCGCTGGGTGGACTCAAACCTCCGGCCTTTCAGTTAGCGGCCAAGTGCTTTAACCCTTTGTATTGCCTACGGGCTCCAAGTCTTAGAATAGGTGTAAAGAATTCTTGTCTCAGCTGCTAATGTTGCCATCGCTGTTGCTTCCAGCCACGAGTTCTCACTTCATCTGGGTCTGCCTGTACAGTGGACTCCTAGAGCATCCCTCTGCGGGGGGGTGGGGAGGTCCCAGGACGACTGTCACTGTGTAGATTCAGTGTTCACGGGCCCCAGACCAGCTGCTGTAGTTCTGAACTTGGGCAGTGGGAAGGGTGGAGGGCATGGGTGTCTGGGTCACTTGCTCCTGATGAAGTCAGGGAGCCCTGTGTCTCCTTTGGGTGGGACAGTGGCTCAGAGACTGCTTTGAGAGTCGAATGGCAGCTTGGCACCTGCCCCCACCGCAGCAGGCTCGCCCGTCGTGGTAACAGCAGCAAGCACAAGTACCCTGTGTCTACACTGTGCCAAGCACCCTGTGCAAACTGTCCTGTCTCATTCCTGCCCAGCCCTGTGTCAGGCACATCTCCAGCTTTCCCAGCTCACAGAGAAAGACAGTGAGGCTCCTGAGGCCCGTCCCAGGTCACACCACTTGTTAGGGCTGCATTGAACTTGATCCCTGTCTCTCAGACTTGGAAGCTCTTCTCTTTTTGCCACATCTAAAGAGTCCAGAGCTTGTCAGGCAAAAGCCACAGAGCTTGGCTGAGCAGAGGAGGCTGTGAGGGACAGGTGAGCATGACGGCCTTTGATGCTGCTGGGGAAGAGGTGAGCAGCCTTCCAAGCTCCCACCATGGGATCACATATCTGAGCCACAGAGGCTGTAATGCAATATCCTGCTTGGCTCCTGCCTCCCTGAGGCCTTGCGATAAGATCTGCTGGAGGTGAAGGGAAAAGAATGGGGAGGTGGTCTCCCGTCAGCCTTTATATGAAGGAAATGAAATGGGAGGCTGATTGGATTGAAATAGGAGGGGTGGGTGTGAGAGCTAAAAATCGGTTCTCGGAAGGCTATTGTGTGGGTGATGGGCCAGAGTTAAGGGGGTACCAGGTCCACACAGGGAGACTGCCTTGATGGGATGGACTCCCTTCTATTACAAATGTCCAACAGTGCTAAAGTGATGCATCCTCAGGACATTTCGGAGGGAGTCCTATGCTGCGTGGACGAGTTGACTCAATGACTCGTAAAGGCCTTCCCACCTCTGAGATCCAAGATCCTGGAATTGTATGAGGGTCCTTAGGAATGTCTGCCATGAAATCATATAAACCCTCTAGGCCCACAGATCCAGGAAAGGAGTGCTATATCGATTCCAAATAGGTGTTTGATAAAAAGCACCTGTGAAAACCAGGGATTTAAGCAGTGAGGTTAGGAGGGCAAGCCAGGAGATGAGTCACTAGAAAACCAGAAACTGGAGAGTCGTGGGGCCACAACTCCCTCTTTGTAGTGGGATCCTTTTGGGGTCAGCCACCATGTGGCCAGCAGTGACCGAGATGACTCTGTGATTGACTTTCAGTCCAGCAGCCATGTGGGAGTGAGGCAGTGGGACACCTCAATCGTGGCCTAAGGTTGCATACTTTTATGATGACTTGTTGTTGTTGTTGTTGTTGTTATGTGCCATTGAGTCGGACCCAACTCACAGTGACCCCTCCTTGGGTTTCCGAGGCAGTATCACTACGGAAGTCGATTGCCCCATCTTCCTTCCGAGGAGTAGCCAGTGGGTTTGAACCACCAGCCTTCTGGTTAGCAATCAAGTGCCTTTAGGCACTATGCTACCAGAGCTCCTTATGATGACTTAGATAGGCTATAAGATACCCTCTAGGTAGGTAGCTGTCATTGAGTCAACTCTGACTCACAGCGGCCTTATGTACAAGAGAACGCAGGACCCTTCCTGATCCTGCATCATCCTTGGTAATTGCTGACATGTTCAAGCCTGTCATTGTGGCTGCTTTGCCAATCCATCTCACCAAGGGTCTCCTTTGCCCTCGCTGGTCCTTAGTCAAACATGTTGTCCTTCCCTGATGAGTGAGCCTTCCTGACAAGGTGTCCTAAGCAAGCCAGTCAGGCAGTGTTTTGTTACGATCCACAAGATTTTCACTGGCCGGTGTTCAGACATGGATCACCAGACTTTTTTTTCCTAGTCTGTCTTAGGCTGGAAGGTCCACTGAAACTTGTTCACTATGGGTGACCCTGCTGATATTTGAAGTAACTGGTGGCATAGCTTCTAGCATCATAGCACATGCGAGCCACCATAGTAGGACAGACTGATAGACAGGTGGTGGGAGGTACTCTCTATCCAAGCAGAATATTAAAGTCTTCTCACAATGGAACCCGATCCTCACCCTATCACCATGATACCCATGTGTTTTGATACAGAGTCGGGGGAACAGTATCAATTGAAAAGAGATAAATCAGATTGACATTTTTATCAGTTAAGTATTAGCTCCTGTAACGAATAAGCTATCTATCTAACCATCCATCCATCTAAAAAGGTTCAATTGTGATAGAAATTTATTAGTTGCAAATGTAAAGCTTAACATGGGTGTTACTCATCAGTCGATGGCTGTCCTCCAGATGGTGATTCAGGAGCCCAAGCCCCTTCCCTTTGGGGGCTCAACAAATGTCTTCCAAGATGGATGTGTTCTTCAGGATGAAAGGGCATAGAGGATTGCATGGTGAGAGGTGGTTGTGCCTGAGGCCTAGATGTGGTGCATATCATTTCCATTCATACTTTTTGACCTGAACTTGGTTAGTTGGCCATAGCCAAGTGCAGAGAACTCTTGGAAATGTGTCCTTGCAGTCTACTCGGGAAGAAGGAATGAAAGCAGATCTGGGAACAGCTAGTCCACCCTTGCTCACACGTCTGCTGTCTTTGCTCTAGTCTGGGGGACTCATTTATCTACTCAACAGCTACTTTTTTTTTTTTTTAATTGTGATTTGGGTGGAAGTTTACAGAGAAAATTAATTTTCCGTGCAACAGCCTATATACATTTTGTTTCATCACATTGACTGCAATTCCCCACATTGTAACAGTTCTCTTCCCACTTCCTCCCTGTAGTTACTTCTTCCCTGTGTCGTCCTTTCCTATGCATTCCTGCCCTCTGAGCTATCTCCCTGTGCAAACACTGCCTTTATGTTCTCCCATGATTGATTGCTCCAAGGAGTGTATCTACTTGGTGTAAATGTTTACCCTATATGCCTGCCTATTGTTTGTCTGGAAGCTACAGGAGTAAGTTCAGTTCCAGACCTGAAGGGTAAGTAGGGGCCATAGTCTCGGGGGTCTCACTTCGTCCTTTTTTTTTTTTTTTTTAATTTTGAGTTTTCTTCCACATTGTTCTCCTACTCTGTCCAGGATCTCCTGCACCAATTCTCCCTCTGAGTGGTTGACTGTGGTAGCTGGGCACCATCTAGTTCTTCTGGTCTCATGGTCATATAGGCTGAGAATCACTTGATTGTGTAGTCCTTTGGAGTACTTGCTGTTTACATGTGTCTTTGGTATTCTTCATTTTTCTTTGCTCTGAATGAGGAGAGACGTATTGTTGCATCTAGATGGCTGTTTTCAAGCTTTTAAGACCCCAGTTACTAATCACCAAAGTAGCATGTAGAACAATGTTTTTTTGTGTAGTATGTTATGCAAGTTGAGCTTGATGTCCCCTGAGACCATGGTCCTCAGCCCACAGGTCCAACTACTCACTCCCTCAGGGTGGTTGACTGTGGCCAAGAAGTTATCATAACTTTGCCCTTTGTTGCCTCTATTATATATTTAGACATTCTTACAGCACATAGAAATATGTATGTAGAAATATTGTCTGCCAACCTTATGTGTAGTCATTGGTATATTGCCTTTTGCCGAGACATACCTGATTAGTCGACCTGTCTACCCATGTATTTACTTGTAGATTAATGTAATTGACAACATGGTATTGTATATATAAAAGGGTTTATCTTTGTCTGTACCTTTTGTACACTTCTCTATCACACTGTTTTGGTACATTGCCATTTCCTTCACCCATGTCAGTACTTGTCTCTACCTATCTAGCAGTGTTCCCTCCCCTCCCCTCCCATCCCTGGTAACCAACAAAGTTTCCTTCTATATATAAACCTTTCCTTGATTTTTTACAATAGTGAACTAATACAATATATGTTGTTCTCAATAGCTACTTATTGAGTGCAAAATCCAATATTTATGGAGTCCAAGCAGTGTGCAAGGCAGGGAAAAGAACTACAACAAGGAACTTAAACAGGAGAAACACTGAGAAAGCAAGCAAACAAGCAAGCGTGTGTTAGGACTTTTTAAGAGCTGACAGAGGCCCGGGTGGCTTTAGCACAGTGAGCTGGGTGTGGGGAAGGGGCCTGAGATGAGCCTGGAGAGGTGAGCAGAGGCCAGCCAAGGTCATGGTCAGGAGTGTGGACATCATCCTTTAGTTGGGAGTTTCCAACCTTCCTTCTGAGAATAATGAAAATGTTACTAGAAATCTTGGAGCCTTTTTCCATGTCCAGATGAATATGAAAATTTTATAGATCTTACATAGCAACTTGGGGACAGGCAGAGTGTATTCTGAAGCAGAGGAAGTAGAGGTCATGATAGATAAGCATGCCTCTGTGGCACTGCTTAGTGCAGAGCGGCAGAGATGAGATAGAGCCTGGTCCCACAGCTGTGATACAGATGCCTGATGCCTACAGAGGAGCCCAGCATCCTCCTCTGGTTTTCATCAGTGGCACTTTAACGCTTGGACCCTAGTCAGCCTTCTAGGGTCCCCATTGATGAGTCCCTTTAAATAATTCAGAGTCACACAGCCCCGGGATTGAAAGCAGCCTTAAATGTCATCAATCCCAACCTGCCCTCACCAGCTAAAGCTTGAATTTCTGCTACAGTGTCACCGCAAGAGATCATCTAGTGTAAATCTGAATGCCTCCATTAATGCGGAAATCATACCTCCCAAGTCCACCCAGTTCCGTGTTAGGATGGTGCCATCCGATCACTGTTCTTGAATTGAAACGTGCCCCCGTGTAACACCTTCCTTTTGGTTTTTATCTGTCCTCCTTAACGTTCAGGTGGTTTTTCTTAGAATAGATACAGTTTTGTTAGTAGCTGGAGTTTCCATGTAATTGATTGTCCAAGCCATCACTTTTGAGAGTGGAAGGAGATGGTAACTGGGTATGTTAGTGGGACAGTGGCATGGATTGGGATTATCTGGGCACACTGGGACATGTGGTCACCCCATCGAGATACCCTTATAAAACCTGGCACGGACAGCTGAGTGTGCAGAGCTTGTTACTGCATCCCGGTGAATCCGTGTCCGGGACGGTGAGGGCTCTAGTCTGAAGCTAAGGGCTGCATCTCAGCCCCTGAGGAAGCTGATTTCAGCCTCTGCAGAATCTCAGGTTTCAGATGGGTCTCGACAAGCTGGGGCTGTGGGTTAAAGGGCCTCTTGTCTTTCTTCACAGGGACTTTGTGAAGGCCTTTATCCAGTTTAAGAAGCCCATTGTGGTGGCCATCAACGGGCCTGCCCTTGGCCTGGGCGCCTCTATCCTGCCCCTCTGTGACATTGTGTGGGCCAGCGAGAAGGCCTGGTTTCAGACGCCCTACGCCACCATCCGCCTCACACCTGCTGGCTGCTCCTCATACACCTTCCCCCAGATCTTGGGCGTCGCGCTGGTAAGCCTCCTTTTTCTCCAATAGCCTGCTTCCCAGCGTTGGGTTGATTTGGGCCCCTAAAATGGAATTGGGTGGGTTTGGGGAGTGTGAATTCCACACGATTGGAGGCATTCATGTTCAGGCAAGACAATCACTGTTGGTGATGGAAGGAGGGGATTCAGATGGTGGGGCAGGTTGGGATAGGTGACCTTTAAGATTTCTTTCAGCCCTGGGTGGTCTGATTCTGAATTATAGAAATGGACTCATTGAGAGGGTTCTTGGGTGCATGGGTTTGGGCTTATGGCAGGCCCGTCCCTGTGGGCCTCTCACAGAGTCTCATGCAGAGCAAACTGTAGCCCTAAACCATTGCCTGGTCTCCTTGCCCCTAGGCTGCAGGCCCTGAAACAGGTGCACAGTGAGGGACTGAGGAGAGGCAGGGAAGAGGGTTCTAGGGTGCTGACTAGGGGCCATTTATTAGGGTGCCATGGATTAAAGGTGGATTTAGGACATGGCTTTGCATAGGCATTGAAACCCGGGGGACTTGTCAGCCTATAGAAACTGTTGCTCTGTCTAAGCGCCCTCAGCCTCCCAGGAGGAGCCTGGGACAGAGAAATGGCTGATTTCAGAGCCTTCGTGCTGTCAGTGTCAGATGTTAGTAGCAAAGCCGGGGGTCGGGGGTGGGGAACAGTAGCCAAGGGCTGAGAAGATGGTGATGAAATTCATTTACTGAACACAAACTGTATGTCAGCCACTTACCTACGTACTCAGCTTCCGTTATCTCATTTAATCCTCACAGCAACTCAGTACGGTGGTGTATTGGTAGGTTTCCTGCCCTAACAAACAGCTCCACAATTTCAGTGGTGTAACACAAAAAAGTTTCTGTCTTACCATGCAGTCCAGTGTAGGTGTGCTCAGTGAGCGGCATGCCACGCCAACTAGAGATCCCGGCATCTTTTGTGTAGCAGGTCCACCTTCTCTTCCAGCCAGTCTGTGAGAAGAGAGAGCCTGAACCATCACCTGGGTGGCTTTCATGGGTCAGGCCTGTGGGGGTGGCGGGCACCTTTACCTCCTTTCATGTCTCATTGTCTGAGATTCAGTCACATGGCCACACCTAAGCACAGGGGAGGCTGGGAAGTGTACTGTAGCTGTGAGTCCAGGAACAAGAGGGAAGGGATTTTGGTGGTCTCGGAGCAGGGCTATGCAGCATGACTTCCTCCATTTCCATTACTGTCCATCTGTTGTGGACTTTCCTTGTTTGGAACGGACTATAAGATGCTTCTTTTTACTTTTCATTGTTATTGGAAAGTGAACACCTTGCTTGTAATAGTACTCTGATTATCTTAAGGCGACCACAGATGTGTTCTTTGTACTGTGATCTGTGTAGATCTACCAATCAAGCAGTCACTCTTGATTCCTTTGAGGGTGGGAAAAGGTTTAATACTTTTTGGCTTTCTTCTCTGCCTTCGCTTTTCTGTTCTTTCATTGTTTTCACCTGAGAGCCTGCAAGCTCTTTTTCTTCATCGCTTAGGTCTTCCTTATGTGGCAACAATTAAGAGAGATTAAGAAAGGCAATATGCCTTTCTCTTCCTTAGTATTGTTCTTTGTTCCTTTTTGAAAATGGCACCACCAAGAATAGTATAAATAACAAGCCTGCCTTGCACATTCAGTGCACACGGGGCCCTATTCTGAGCACTGCCTCTTTTAATCTTCACAACATCATACTTTCTGGTCTGGGAAGAGAATTGAGTCTTTGTAGGGTCAAGTCACACATTTCATGACTAATTAAACTCTCTGTTTATGTTCTTATTTACTGAGCTCTAGAATGAGTTATTCATTTTATTGGTCATTATCAGTGATAGCCCCTCCCCCAAGGGCTCACCCCTTTTTACTGGAGCTTCTGGATAACACATTAGGTTTTCCTTCACCGCAGGCCCTGGAGGGCTACAATGTCTAAGGGTGGCTGAGAAGTCTTTCAGTTGCCTTTCTGAATGAAAAAGACCTCACCTTGTTCCTAGCACCCACAAAGGAGTAGATAAAGGTGGCTCTGCATTGGAATTCATTGACTCTCATATGGCCAAGTGCCAGCCAACTGGAGCCTCACAATTTCCTTTAAGGGCTTGGAAAATGTCATTGTATTCTGAATGATCTCTGATGTGGTAATGTCTGAAACTGTCCTCATTTTATGTTTCCTCAGGATTTTATGCTACTTGGATTTTTTTCCCCCTTCAAATCTTGACTTTTTTGCCTGCGGCCTGCTCTCAAATGAGGTGGTTGGTCACTGCTTTCATCTTCTTATTCTAAGTTCCTTTCAGAAGTCCTTGCATGTTTTGTTAGAAGTTCCTTCAGTGTAGAATGACAAGCAGTATGTTCTCGTATATGCCTGCCCCAAGGACCTACGACTATGGCTGTTGTTGGGTTGAGCAAGACACTATTGCAGAGGACAGAGGAGCTTAGTCTAAAATCAGTTTTCATTGCTCTGTACCAGCTCTTCCCTGTAAGAAGGGGTGTGGGCAGCATGGCGCCTTCAGTGCCTCCAAACTCCGGAGCCTACATGTGTGGACACAAGTGTTCTCTCTGGATATTAAAGGACACAACCCCCATCATTCTGTTGCGGAGGACACCAATGACCTTCCAGTGGGCCTGTTGTCAGTCCTTGTGTTATGCACTTGCCACACTATGATGGAAGCTTCTGGAAACTCCTTCTTTGACTCTCTTGTGCCTTGACATCTCTAGAACCACACGTTCTGAGGTCTCCTTGACCATCTGCTAATTTATTCTGTGAATATTCTTGCAAAGCCTTTTGGTGGCTTTACTGTTGGTGGGACTTCTGGATTAAATTTAAGCCCCTCAACACGACTAAGATTTCTTCATGATACACCCCTTCTTGCTCCTGTTTGATCTGCCTCTACATTCATATCGCAGCAACACCACATTGCTTGTGACTTCCCATGCCTCCCATGTTCTTTCTTGCCTTTGAACCTTCCTTAGGACTGTCCACAAGGCCCAGCTGCCTTCTTGTCTAACCCTCCCTTTGCCCAGGTAAGTCCTGTCATTATTTGCCTTCCTGCTTGGGAAGGAGATGAGGATAGAATTGACTGCACCACTAGTTTGCTAAGGTTTCTGATAGATGTGTAGATATGCAAGGCCAGAGAGCACCAAAGAGGGAAACCTAGGCCTGCTTGGGGCAGGTGGACATTAAAGAAGGGTCCAGAGGGTTGCCTCCTGAATGAGTCTGGAAGGACAGGGGTCTCCTGTCCTCCCCCTTCTGTGTGTTGCTCTTTGATAGTGGCCTGAAACAGGAAGAGCCACTAAGAGAGCAGATGATGTAATTGTCAGCTCTAGAAATCCATTGGTACCACCTCCTTTGTGCAGCAGAGCCAACAGGTGGGACAAATCCAGACGTTCAGATTCAGGATCCTGGGCCGACCTGAGCTGCTAACAGTCTCACCAGGGGTAGAAAACCCAGCAGGCACGGTGCCCAGGGAGGAGACACGTCCCCTTGTGATCACAGTCATTATGTGATCACAGTCATTGTGCTCTGTCAGATGCCTCCTGGTTCCACGGTGGTCCCCGCCCATCTTCTGTGGTCATAGAAAAATGTTAACTTCATAAAATCTTCTCTCTTTCTCTCTCTCATTTCACTCATTTCTGAAGCTCCAAGAATGCTGCTGATTGAGACAGTTCTTGCTTATTGAGTCCTGTTTGGCTCCTTCTACTCTGTTCCTTTCTTTATCCTCCCAAGACAGAAGTATTTCTAAATAAATATACTGGCCTACATTTTCCTTCGGACCTCTTACCTAACATATGTCCTAGACTTATTACCAATGGTTATTCTTTCTGAGGGCTGTCATCACAAAGTACTATAAACTGGGGGGCTTTAAAGAACAACCATGTATCATCTCGTAGTTTTGGAATAAAGTCCAAAATCACAGTGTCCTCAGGGCCTTGCTGCTTCGGAAGACTCAAGGGGCAGACCCTTCTTTGTCTCTTCCAGTGTCTGGTGGCTGTGGCAGTCCTTGGCATCCCTTGGCTCGTGGCTCCATTCAGTCTCTGCCTCCACCTTCCCACGGCTGTCTTCCCTCTGCATGTCCTCTGTGCCTCAGAATCGAAATCACGCTCTCCTTTCTCTTAGGAGGACACCAGTCACTGGATCCAGAGTCCACACTAATCTAGTGTGACGTCGTCTTGACGTTATTACGTCTGCAGGTATACTATTTCCAAATGAGATCGTATTCACAGGTACGAGGGGTTAGAACTTGAACACATCTTTGTGGGGAATATAATTTAAACCATAACATCAGCCTAATACATTCCTTCACTCCAGTGTGCTAGAGTGTCCTTTGGGCCATTGTGACCGATCAGTGACAGCCAGGGCAGAAGGAAAAGCTGTGCATAGAGGCAGAATGAGCTTGGAAGTGCCAGTGCAGGAGTGGCTGACACATAGGGACAGGGAGACGAGAGGAAGGGGAAGCAGAAGGGTGGCAGGTCAGGGAAGGCATTGCCTGTGTGGGAAGGGGTTGGAAGTGCATCCTCAGTGAGCTAAGGACCCTCATCACGTGGCTCATGGGTGGTGACTATTATGTCCTCCTGATCAGGGTAAAGGGGTCCCTTACTTCTTCATTTTGGCTGGCTTCTCCACACTGCTCTATCTCTGCCTTGGGCTCACCCTTATCCATGGCACCTCCTGGAACATATATGACAGCTTGTATGTTTCCAGTCAAGAGGAAATCCTTTGGGAAGTGCAGTGCAGAGGCAGCCCAGGTCACAAGACCGGGGGGAAGGCAGAGGGCATGTTTTCTGGCTCTGTGCAGGGCCCTTGGCCATGGGGACACACTCCTCCATGCTGTTTTGACTCTGGGCTGATTTTTGCTCCAGCATCAGAGAAATAAAACGGAATTTAGTAGCTCCCATAACTGCAAAGTTGAGGCATAGAGCTTCCCTTGTAGAAATTCACACACCGTCAGAACTCCCTTTGTCCATTTCTCCCGCCGTTGTGGACCCCTCCACAGCAAGGTGCAGCACTAGGTGGCTCTGGGCTTACTGACTTTACCCTGGAACCAGAGGGTGAGAAGGATTCCTCCCTTCAGCTCCAGCAGGCCAGCCCCATAGAAGAGCGCTAGTGGGCTGGGTGGATTAGTGGTCTGTTCACTCATCCCTGAGCAGTCGTCATGGCTGGGATATTGGTGCTGAAATCCCGTGGCTCTGTCACCAGAAATGGGGAGGGGTATTGGGCAGACGAGGAGCCCTAGAGAGCAATGATTAACTGCTTGGCTGCTAGCTCAAAGGTTGGCAGTTCAAATCCACCAGTCGTTCCACAGGAGAGAAGACCTGACAATCTTTTCTTTTCTTTTCCCATAAAGGTTAGTCTTGGAAACCCTGTGTGGTAGTTCTACTCTGTCATATAGGTCAGTATGGGTCATAGTGACACAGTATGGGGCCCAGCACACAACAGCAAAAATTGGACAAAGCCACAGTAAACACTTGGCTTCTTTTGCAAATGTGATGACAAGTGAACGGCGTGTTTGAAATGCACGTTTGCACAAGGTTCGTGGGGCTCCGCAGAGCTTCTCTGACCTCAGGTTAAGAATCCTGCCTTTGAGAGCAGGGACAGTGGCACCCGGTTTGCTGACGGACCCTGGGAGCCGCTGCAGGCCTCAGCCTTCTCCTGCCTTTGCCCTCTCAGGCCAACGAGATGCTTTTCTGCGGGAGGAAGCTCACTGCTCAGGAGGCATGCAGCCGGGGACTTGTGTCCCAGGTCTTTTGGCCAACCACATTCAGCCAGGAGGTCATGCTGCGGGTCAAGGAGATGGCGTCCTGCAGTGCCGTGGTGAGTCCCCATGCCCCCAGACATGCTCCCCTTCTTTGCTACCTCCCGTGTTTCTATGTATTTGCTTGTTTCATGTAAGTGAGAACTCACGGTATTTGCCCATTTGCAACTGATTCGTTTCACACAGCATCGTTTTCATGGTTCATCCATGTTGCGGCATGCATTGGGACTTCTCTTTACAGCTGCGTCATACTCTGTGTTGTGTATATATGTATTTTGTTTATCTGTTCATGTGCTTACACACAGGTCCGTTCTACTTTTTTTCTGTTGTGACTAGTGCTGCAGTGAAAGTGGTGTCCAGGTTTCTGCTTGCCTTCTGGGCAGCACATTGTGATGAACGCCTGGCATGGGTCAAGGACTCTGCTGATCTCCTTATGTAGGTTCTCTTTGTAACTTCCTAATCGCTAAGGTGACCCTTACAGTCAACACAGGGGGACCAGCAGGCTCAAAACACTAACTGACCTTTCAAAGGTCATGCAGGAAAAGTGCTGAATTGATGTATGTTTTGATATGTATCTTTTCACCGTAATTAAAATACATAAATAAATAAGGTGATATAAGTGGTGATGGGATCTGAGTAACTTCAGACCCAGAGGAAGAGCGTCAGCACTGTTGGACCTTCCCTATAATACCCACTTTGAAATACCTCACAAAAGAGACTTGTAATCTGGGATAGAGTGTGTTGATTTAAAAACAATCCTAAGCATACACAAAGACACAAAACATCGATCATGTTCAAAGAAAACAAGAAGCAAAAAGCAGATATGAAGGTAGGATATTGTACCACAGAGATGAGAGGAAGCTGTACGCGTGGTCCTTGTGTTTAATTTCCTGTATCTGTCTACTGAGTGCTGGTCACATTTCGAGCGTCACCATTTGACTCTGAAGACATTGGAAAATGGATACGTGAATACGCATATCAATACGTAAATAACACCTCCACAGTGCCGCTGGTTTTAATTGTCAGTTTTATCTCATGAAAGTCATTCTGAAAACGAAATGGAAATATCCTGCTGGCAGGTAGCGAAGAGGTCATGGAGCCACAGGTGCTTTTGGAGGCTGAGTTCCTGGATCTCTGTGCTTCAGAGACCAGACGTGGCTGGGCTCGACCTACGGGGCCAGGGCCTTGACCTTCCTTCTTTCTTCCTGTCCACTCTGCACCCCGCCCCTAACTGTCATGATTCTCTCGATTCCCTTGGTCTCATTAGTCATTTATTGGGAGGCCTCATGGTGCCACAGTTAAGTGCCCAGCTGTTACCTGAAAGTTGGCAGCTCTGACCTACCCAGCAGTTCCATGGGAGAAGGATGTGGTGAGCTTGCTCCCATAAAAACTGCAGCCTAACAGGGAGACAGCTCAGGGCACAGGAGAGTATGGAGGGATGGACACTGGGAAGAGGTAACTATGGGGAGGAAGTGGGAGGGGAGCTGCTGCATTGTAAATTTTGGTCAATGACATGAGACAAAGTATATGTGAACTGCTGTATGAAAAGTGAATTTACTCTCTAAATTTTCACCCAAATCAAAATAAAATTAAAAAAAAAAAAGCAATGCTAATTACCTGATAAAAAAACAAACCTGCAGCCTAGAAAACTCTGTGGGCAGTTCTGCTCTGTCACCTGGGGCCACTATGAGTCAAACATTGACTTGATGGCACCCAGCAGCGACATTGTGTGTGAACCTCGCTCCCAGGAAGTGTGAAAATAGTAATATGTGATGGGGTGATAATGTTCTCCACGTCTTTTTGTTTGTTTGTTTGTTTTAATTATTTTTTATTTTGGTGAAAATACACACACCAAACATTCGCCGATACAACCTTTACATTTATAGTTTGGTGACACTGATTACATTTTTCACATGTGTCACCATTATCACCGTCCTTTTTCAATGTTCTCTACCACTGCTAGCACCAACGCATTGTCTCCCACACAGAAACCCTCCTTTCTCCCTTCCCTCTCAGCCCGAAAACCACTAATAACCTTTGGATTCTCTACCTTTGCTTCTTTCATAGGGGTGGGGTCATACCGTATCTGCCCTTATTTCACTCAGCATTGTGTTTACAAAGCTCATTCTTTTGTGGCATGTATCAGACTTCTTTTTTCTTTAGGGATGAGTAGTCTTCAGTTACATGTAGACCACATTTTGTTCATCCATCCATTTGTCTGTTGGTGAACACTTTTGGCTGTTGGGAGAAGTGCCACATTGAACGTTGGTGTGCAGGACTCTCTCTGCCTTTGTCCCTGATCTTTTGTCCCACATCTTGACAAACACCTATCAAGGGTCACCTACGTTGCTAGTTTCTTTTATAGATTCTTCTTTAATCTTCCTGACAAGCAGGGTGACCCACTCATCCCAGTTTACCTTGGACTCTCCTGATTTGAGCACTGAATACCTTATGTCCCAGAAACCCCTGGGCAAACAGGGATGGTTGTTCCCAGCAGAGTCAGCTTCCCAGAGAAGCAGGTAGGAATACCAGGCAAGGGAGTCAGCTCCAGTGAGGGCATAGCCTTTGACAGAAAACCCATGCAGCGTGTGAGCAGCAGCTCCAAACACCGATTTGAGAGAGTGTTCCACGTATGAGGGACAGTAAGACTGGAAAGGACAGTGAGAGGCAGGTTCAAAGCTACATTGAGAATCTTGGTCTTTATTCTGTGGGCCATGGAGAGATATCCATGAAACCAGCAGTTAGAGAAAAGCCTGAGAACAGAAGGGACACCTGAGGGGACATGGGCGTCAGGAGAGGCCAGTGGACAGGAAATACTCAAGGAAATCTCTGTCTCACCAGTAAAGAAGGAACTCAGGACTCCGGGTGATCTGCCCGAGGAAGCAGTGGACACCAACAAAGTGAGGCCCTCGGCACTTGTGACAGTCTCTTAAGAGAGATCCTTGGGAGGAAGACTCATTCTCGTTGGCCAGCCCAGGCTTCCACTGCTCTCAGCCAGCGGTCCAGCTGAGGGTGGGATCACAGCCCCCAGGAGAGTGGTAACCTAAGCCTTGCCATCAGCAGAAGCCAGGAGAGGCCAGTGGAAGGAAGGAAGCCTGTGTCAGAGCGAGGCAGTGCCGTGCGGCTGCTGGAGGCAACCAGTGTGGCTTTTCCTGCCACGTCGACCACTTAATAACCACAAATCCTGGGTAACCTTAAGCTCAGTGAGCTTCAGGCTCTCTGTCTAAAATGTGGGAATAGAAATGCTACCTATTTTCAGTTATTGTGAGGCGTAATTGAAGGATTGCAGGAAGAGTACTTCACACAAAGCCTTTTAGTTAATGGTGGTCACGGCAGCATTGCTGTTGCTGTTATTACTATGCTTATTACTATTGTTACTAGCAACTACTAGTATTATTACTACTAGTAGTAGCAGTAGTAGCACTATTGCCATGTTTCCGTGCAAACAACGTGCGTGCTGCATTTTTTTTGCCAGCCATGGTCTGCCCCCTCCAGGTATTTTCATAAGTGCACTATGCTAATATATTTTTTAGAGAAGTGTGTAAAAACATTTAATATAGCTCTCACAAAAATACCTCATGAAGAGAGGGTGTGTTATTTGCATAGAAATACGGTATTACTGTTGTTAATAGCACATTAATAACAGTATGTTATATTAATAGTATATCGCTATACTATTAATACTGTTAATGCTATTATTAGTAGCATTAATGCTGTTATTATTATTGAATTATTACTCTTGTTGCTGTGCCAATTAATACCATTGTTATCCTTACTACTAAGAGTATAAGAGTTCTGCTCTTCATACTAAGCCTGGACAAGGAGCACTGCAGTTGGGGTAGATCATGTGGGTACAGTGATATCCATTAGCCCATTTCCTTATGTCACTCTGTGTTCCCAGTGATCCTTGAGTTGGGTTTCATTATTCCTGTGTGACCAAAAATGCAACTGGGACATGGAGAAGTTAAAGCAAATTTCCAAAACTTTTTCATGGTGCCCATAGAAAGTGATACTTCATTTATGTCACCCTTGGATAAGAGTCAAGGCACTTGCAGCTATCCAAGGGACGGAGGCCTCAGCATCTCGGCACACCTGGATTCATAAGTGACATTGCTGGGAGCCCTAGGCTGGGAGCGCCATGCTGGTGGAGGCCATCTGGAACGCTGGCAAGTTGACCGGTGCCTTGTAGGCCAAGCACATTGTCCTGAGTGAAGCCCCAGTGCCAAGCTAACAAGGCTTGTCCATTTCCCTCCAGGTGTTAGAGGAGTCCAAATGCCTCGTTCGGAGCTTCCTGAAATCGGTGCTTGAGGACGTGAATGAGAAAGAATGCCTCATGCTCAAGCAACTCTGGAGTTCCTCCAAAGGCCTGGACTCCCTGTTCAGCTATCTGCAGGACAAGATTTATGAGGTCTGAAGGGCCCTGGCTTACCTACCCCAACACCCGAGGGGGCCTGACTTCCAGCTTTGCCCTGTGTTTCAGGAATCGGAGCACAGTGTATGCCCCGGCCAAGAAGCTTGTCAAGGTGTCTCTTTGTACCTAGGGTTGTGTCCATTTCCTCGTGTCCTTTGGTTGCTCATTGGTTTGATTTTGTGTAACAGGTGGGAAATGCAGAATACTTGGCCTCCCCCAGCATCCCCACCCCACTGGTCAGAGAGCTATCGAGGGCTATCTCTTCCCAGGCTCTGCCAGGCTGCCCGCCATTTCCCCACTTGCTGAAATGCACCATCGTGGTCCAGGAAGGGGGAGACCAATGTCCCCCATCCTTTTGACTCAGGCTGTGTCTACACAGTGCCTCTGATTGGGAGACCTGGCCATCATGGCTCTCTCTGGCCAGGTGCAGATTGGGTGGCAGGGGATGACTCATCTTAGGGAATTTCTGGACCGATGAACAAAATGATTGTGTAGACCCTGCCTCAGTTTCCTCTTTGATGTAAATCTGTGTGACCTTTAGGGCTTGGTCTTAAAACCCAATTGAGTGATTTACAAACCCAGATATTGTACATTTAGAAATGTTTTTGTTAAATATATATTTTTTAAAACAATGTAAGTGGAAATTCTGATAATTTATGTGTATTATATGTAAAGCTAGTTTTGCAAAAACATGAACTACTAGGAAAATGTTTTTCTTTACTCAGACCTATTTAATTAATTTATTTGTGTTTGTATATTGCAATGTCTGTTGTTTGCACAGATGTTATTTTCGTACTGCCCTGGACCAAATCCCATACAAGGTTCTTGCCATTTGGTGTGTTCTAGCAACGAACCCTATAGAAATAAAAGTCAGATAGATGGCAATGGGTGGCTTTCAGTGGATAAAAGGGGTAGGTCAGCACCAGGTCCTCTGCTGGTCAAATGGCCCTCAGCTGTGATAATGTCATACTAGCTCTTTAGGCTTGTCCTTGGAAGGAATCATGGAAGGAGTTTCTCTTCACTTTGCTGCCTTCTAGGAGATAAAGGGTCCTCCAAGCTGCAGTGGTCCACAAACCTACTGTTCTACTAGTCTGATGTCAGGAAGAGGTAAGGGAATTAGGCCCTGCCTGGGCACTGTAAGTTGCCTAGAGTCAGACTAATGTGCTTGGAGAAAATGCTTGAACTTGGACTAAAGAGTTTGTTTCTTCTATGTGGCCGGTGATTTCTGACTTTGGCCTTCCTGGGAGGGGCAGGCAGAGTTCTGACACTGCTGAACTACCGGCTAAACGTCCGAATCTTTCTCCCTCCAGATGCCAGGGCAATCCATCTTTTTCTCATTGTCACTGACACAAGGAGTCAAGGGCCAGGGGTGGGGTCTCCTGCCCTGTGCCCCTTGGTTGTCAGAAGACTTGGGAACTGCTTTTAGACCATAGACTCAGAGTCACCTGCAGGGACTAGTGGGGGTGAGGTTGGTTTTGGTTTTGGTTGGTGAGGACAGAGTTAAACATCAAGGTTAGATCAGAGGAATGGAGCCCTTTCTGGATGAGGCAGACATGTGTCACAAGTCATGCACGCAGAGAAAGTTCGAGACTCTAGATGCTGGGATTTTGCCATTTTCATCGCCACCCGTGTCTCTTCTCAGAGGCCTTTGCTCTTCCCTGATCCTCCTCTCCTCTGTTAGTCCCCAGCTGTTCTTGACCCTTGAGATGGTTGAACAGAGCAGTCACAGTTGGGCACAGCTGGTGGGGGTGAGTGAAGCAGGCTGAGAAAAGGGAGAGTCAGTGCTGCCAGTATCGCTCCTTGGTCTTCTCTTCTCCATGTGCTCTGGACAGGGTGAGCAAAGGAGTCCATAGCCCTGAGCATTGTATTTCAAGGAACAGGTTGCGGGTCTGTGCTAGCACAAGGAACGTGACCCCGTAAGCAGTGACTCTGAAGTTCATTTGGACTCTTGATCCTTAAGATGCCCGTGGTTCTCTCTGTAGGAAACCTTCTTCCTTGAGTTTCTCTATGACTTCATGAGGGCAAGGAGGAGAGGAAGCTTCTCCCTTCTCTTTCAGCCTGTCCCATGTTGGCTGTGGGAGCCAGAAGGAAACTGCCACCTTGGCTGAATCCAGGCAGAGGAAGATGGAACTGAAGTCCTGGGCACCCTCCCCTTCATCTCTTTGGGTCCTGTAGAGGAAATACTATAGGGAGACATCTGCCTTTGCCCAAATGCCCACTTTGAGGAAGCCAGTGTACGTTTCCCCGTAGCCCTCTAGCCTTCATTCTTGTGTGCCGTAGCAGCTGATCTCTCCACCATCGCTACAGCCTCTGAAGAAGGAGCCCCTTGCTTTCTGTGTAGCTCTGACTGGAGGCAGCTATGTTCACCATCTGTAGAAGCAGTGTTGGGATTCTCATTGCACATGGAAGAGGGTGTTTGGAAATTCCTTTTGATCAGTGCCCATCTTTTCCTTACTGAAAGAGTCAGGAATGATTTAGCTTTGTGGGTGCAGCAGCAAATCCAAAATTCTCAACATTTTACTGATCTCTGGTGACTGAGGTAGGCAGGGTGGAGCCATTTCTGAGGTGTAATGTGTGAATATATAGCTTCTGGCTGTAACAGGAAGGGTTTTGGTGGTTTCCTTGCAGTCCGTGCGGTAAGGATGCTTTGCCAGTTTGGCAAAGTTGGTTACGTCTGTTTGCTAGTGTCAGCTGAACCACTGAATGGTTTATTTTCAGATAGCTGTTTTGATAATGTGTAGATGAAATTTGCTTATTACACATTGGTCCAAGACCAGACCGGTTGTTGTGTCAGGACTTATCCTAGTAGGTGTCCTGGGATACTGCTTAAACTTGGATTTTTTTTCTTTTCTTCCCTGGCATCCTCTGTCCTTCCATGGGATCCATTCTTCTTTTTCTCTCAACTGCTTTGCCCCCAACCCGCTCCCTAGAGCTGGGTGGGCCTGTGACGGTCGTGGCTGATCCCATGGTTTCCTTTGAGGTTGGAAAAATGACTGTAGGTGGGAAGTGGAAGGCATCTCTTTATTCAAAGAAGCTTCTCCCGGCAGCCTGCTCTTTGCCACCTTCCTTATTAACTGTGCATTAGAACTCACCTTCCTTCTCTCCCCCAGCCCCTGGCGATGCTTAGCTCCCTGTGTTTTGTAGTGGAACCATTTGAGTTGACAGCCCCATTCTGAGAGGACTTCCTGCAGGATTTTGTCGTCGTGGTCTGACTCCCTTCACCATGTGGAAACCACTGCTTGGCTGCCGATGCCCCTACGTGTCCCTTCCTGCTTTGGAATAATGCTTTTGAGTAAAAATCATCAAAATTACCTGCTAACAATGAAATTGGATAGCTATGAGAAAGTAGCAGAGAATTGAGTTCAAATATTATCCTTGTTCAGGATAGACTAAGCTAGGAAATGTTCCCTTTGAAGCATGAAAGTATGTTTTCCCATAAGAAGTTTAGCATGAGGATGGAAAAGTCATAATCAAATTGGACTTTGAACAAGGCAACTGTCTCTGAGTATCCACATTTAAACACAGCTGTGAGTGAATGCCAAATTGCATTTGTTTAAAAAAAATTTGTAAACTTTTTTAATTTGAAATTTAGTCACATTCATGCAATTTTACAATTGACTGTCTGTGGGAAGTTTTTTAATAGAGAAACAAATCCAAACACCTTCCCACCTATTTAAAATGCAGAGTTGCCTCTCTTCGGTGTGTCTGTATCCCAATACGTCGACCTGTTGTAGATAGTAGTTTAGATGCTCTTACTAATATACACAGTATTTAAGACTCTAAATGAGATTTCTTAAGTATTTTATTTTATTCTCTGTAAATGGTTTTGTAGAATCTTTAAAAATCTACACTTTGCCTTTGTAGATATTTAAGGGAAACCATTTGGGAATTGTCTTGCATGTATATTTTTGTTGTAGATAAGTGTTGCTTAGTTCTTTCCGCAAAGTTTGGTTGAAATGCTTACAGACTTTAATACAGTATATATTTTCAGAATAGAAACTTTTATATTTCTGTGCTGAATTAGGATATGCGTTGTAGGCAATCTTTTCCATTAATAATCACTTGTTCTTTCAAACAGTAGTGCACTGGTTTGGTGCCACTTGTTTCTTCTTTTTCATTAGAATTTAATGCTCTTGTTGGAAAGCAGGTTAATTTTTTTTTTTTTTCTGTGAAGTAATTGACTTTGAAGTATAATTTGAAAATTGATTGATGTTGTGAATAAGCCTTACCATTAGGATAAATAGATTTTCCAACCTTTGCAAAAGCATGTATCATTTAAGGTCCCCCATCAATTCTCACTGTGTGGCAGGTGGTGAAGTTTGTAAACAGAGCCTTAAGCTTGGTGCAGGAAAAAAAAAAAAAAAGGGTAATACGGGTTGTTTCTTCCCAGCAGTGTAGGCCATGTTCATTGGACTCAGTGTCGTCCACAGCTCGTGGCTGACTGGAATAGTTTGGTTGAGTTGATGGCAGCCAGGGTCAGATAGATGTCTTGGTGATTATCTTTGGCCATAAGAATGGACCAAGGCAGGCTTTCCAGAGTCACCTTTGTACTATTCACATGTTTTAGACATGGTCACATGGAGGGCTGCTGGTCCATCATTTACTCCAAACAAATGGCATTTTTTCCTCCTGACCTCAGCAGTTAACCCATGTCTTTTGTGGATGACTTGGAAACATCCAGTCTGGTTGAGGTCAGCACTCATCAAGAGATGTTAACAAAGTTTACATATGAGTCTCACTGACTGTGTAGACAATCGGAAGTTGATTTCAGTTCTGTGATCAGCATCGCCATGTGTCCTCCGTGTCTTCCCGGTGGACGATGTGTGTGAAGCCATACCAGACCTGAAGTTAGCAGGGGAAAGGCAAACTAATGCAGAGAATGCTTGTCAGCTGGGCCAGGCTACCAGGGCTATTGAGTGGAGCTGTCAGCAGTGGGCCCAGTGTGTCTGGGATCTAATAAAACCAGCTAGAAATTGGATGTAATTTTTTTTTTTTTTTAGAATTTATGATTCACTGTGGGTGGCTACCTTTAGGTAGTTACTAGTGGATTCTCCTTCTCAGCAAAATAAAGATGATTGGGACACCAAGGCTATATTACAGCCCAAGTCAAGTTACGTGATTGATTCACCTCTACTAAGTGGTCAGAAAGTCAACTTACCGACATG